AAAAAAAAGCAAGAAGGGAAAAATATCTTAGAGTCACCCTGCTGTTTTAGGAAGACCCAGAGGAGAGGCGATTGAAGCCTCCAAATTAAAAGAAATAAGAAGAAGATGGAAAAGTTAGTGACCCTTATTTGGTCAATGTGTACTATGTATGTGGAAACCTCACCCCATGCCCTGTAAATGTGTTTAATTATTACAAGCTAAATTTTTTATGATCCCTTTTTTGATTATACGAGAATTTCATACATACGTATAATGTGTTTTGAGCAAATCCAACCTCCATTCCCTCCCCTAAATGAGAAAACATAACCCATGAAGACACAAAGTTTTTAAAGCAAGAGCAGATATGTCAATATAAATTAGAAATTGTAGACAAGAGCTAAAAATATCATGACCCTGGCATGTGGCACATGCCTTTATCCCAGCACTCGAGTCAGGTAGATCTCTGTGAGACTGAGGCCAGGCTGGTCTATGTAGCAATTTCCAGGCCAGCTGGGATGACAGGGAAACCCTGCCTCAAACAAAACAAACAAACAAAAATCACACCATGAGAGAGAAAGAGTTGTATAATGTAACAGTCTCAATTAAACAATAAGACATAATAATCTTAGTTACACATTGAAGAACAATGCTTCAAAATATTCAGAGTGTAAACTAACAAAATTAAAAAGAAATAAACAGCCCAAAATGTAATTGGATGTTTCAACACTCCTTTCTCAGTAATTGATAGAACTGGTAGACAGAAAAAAAAAAAACAACATTTTCTCAGATTCAGTTTTAATATGGAAAAATTCATGAATTTGCATGTCATCCTTGCACAGGGGTTGTGCTAATCTTCTCTGTGTCATTCCAGTTTGAGCATATGTGCTGCCAAAGTGGGCACCATTTTCTCAAAATTTTCAACAAATCATTCCAAGAATGGTATACATAGATTTATTGTGATACTATATTATCTATAACAGAACATCTGTAACTTAAGCATGTTATACATAATCAGATTTTATTTTTA